ATTGAATCATTCACTCAAACTACAGATCTTAATCAAAAATATCTTACAATTCAATCTGATGCCAGATTTAATATTAACTCTTCTTTAATATTCCCAAAACTCTCTTTCTGGAATGATTTTGTATTCTCTCACTAAAAAACTCTCTGGACCACTTCAATTCTTGGTTTGAAACTTATTATTCTCCCTATAGCAAACAATTCTCTTTCAATATTGATAAAGAAAAAGTTCACACCTCTTTAATAATTCAATTCTGACAACATTTTATCTTTCAACTCTCTAAACACCTCCCTGAAACCTATACCTTTCAAAAACCTAACTCACTTCATGAGTAACATGAAGAAGCATCTCGTGTTGCTAACTTCCATTGCCTTACCTGTGATAACTATAGGTGCTGGTGAAATTAGACCATTTTACCGGATGAAATAGTAAAATAGTTTTACCAGAATTACACCAAAATAAACCTTTGGTGAAATGGTAAAATTGGTGAAATTGGTGAATTAGTGAAACAGTAAATTGGTGAAACAGTGAATTGGTGAGTTGGTGAAACAGTAAGTTGGTGAAATGGTGAGTTGGTGAATTGGTGAGTTGGTGAATTGGTGAGTTGGTGATCTTATAATAATCCTTCTATTGCTTTCATTTACTTCAACCAAATACACAAGATCGACAAACTTGTTTGGTATTAGAATAAACTTAAGGTAAAGTTACTTGCTTCTGTCACTTTACAGAGTTTATTTTTTTTCTGTGCATATTGTAATCTAACTTCAAACTTAAGCAATCAAAAATACAGTACTAGTCGCTAATGGAAAATTGAATCACAGAATCTATTATGAGAGTGGCACCAAAAAAAAAATGTAAAGAAGGCATTTGAATGTTATTTAAAATCTGTTGAAGATGGTAATTTTGTTGGAAAATGTAGTTTTTGATATCATTATCAACATGCTAAAGAAAGCAATCTTAATAGACAACACAGCTTGTGTTTTACTACAAGAATGGTTTGTGTGCTAAGTATGAAAAAGGCACTGGATAGCATTTAAAATCCACTAAAGTTGGTAACTCTATTGAAAAATGCATCTTGGATTGTGACTATAATTTTTGGATATGCTATAAATATGGCGTTGGTACTGCTAAGAATAAAAAAAAAAATTTTCTGGAAACTGTGATAGAAAACTAAGGTATTGCATTTATTTTGAAGGTTTTACTACATTGTAATATTTTAATTTTTATGTAATAAATAAAATTATTTATTTTATGAATAATTTTTTTTTATATTTATTTGAAAGTGTTATATATTGTAAAATTATATAAATGAACAGTTCAAGAAATAAATATATTTAAGATTATATGAATCGAAAATTTTGGCATATTTACTAGTCTAATTGTTATCAGTATCATTCCTCTCTTTAATTATTTTAATTCCTTCTTAATCATGATACCCAACATTAAATAGTTCATACGTATTATATATAACCATCTTTTTAACTCCAATCCATTCATGATAACAATATTTAGCATTACACATTCTATAAAATCTAAGATCATCTACATAATTTATGATGATAAATCAATGCCTTATGTTCATTCTTTTCTACTTCAATTTTTTTTCATTTTTGATAAGATTAAATATTCCATCTATATTATTTACTCTTTTATCAAATTTGATAACAACAGCCAACTTGAAATGTTTTTTATTATTATTATAGTTATTTTGTCCATTCAATCCATCACTTTTAGGCACCTTTAAGAACTATTCACATACAGTATATTGGCATCAAACCTTGGTAATAAGTGTATGCCCTATGCCATTTTTAGCATCCGGATTCATTGATATGCTTTTCTTGTTTTCATTTATCTGTATGTATAATAGAGTAAATAGAATGCTAATAAGTGTTTATAATATATTTCTTTATTATAAATCCAAAATACTGCTAATCTACAGTTTCATTTAGAATTATGACCTTAATTTGGGACTATTTTAAAACTACTTCACCTGAACTTTATTCATCTTTTATTTATAATACTAATTTTTAGTTTTCAAATATATAAGCCTAGTTGCAAGAGAAGTCATTGTGTTCCTATTATTATATTTCTATAAAGACAAAAAAAAATTTTAATAGTTGTAAATTTTAAGTTATGAAACTACCAATCTTAAACATAGGTCTGTAATGAATAATTGAGCTTAATATCATTTTATACTCTTCAATTGCGAAAACCTTATATTTATTATATGAAAAAAAATTTATTACATGATGATTCAAATACTAATATAATAAATTTTTTAATCCTCTTCATCTTGTACCATTTGACATGCTAACTCAATAGGATTGTAATTTATATTACCTACATCTCTAGCCCAATTAGTTGTAACAGAATCTGAAAAAAATATTGCATCTCCAGATACTAAAAATTCTAGCAACACTAAATCTACTGAATCTGCAATATTTAATGTTAACCTTTCTAAATCTTTGCTTTCATTAGTATTATCTAAATTATTAGTCACACCGTTATTAGTATTTTCATCTGAAGTTTCAAGTAAATCATATGTAACTATTGATGTATTAATACTTTCATACAACTCTTTATAATTTAAATCTTTGCCATAAAGTTGAAGTTCTTTATCAGAATTTGAAAGGTAGTAAGAGCGTATTTTTGCCATATCTTCTAATCGAGAAAGACAAAGTCAGGTTTGTTTACTGTCATAAAACTATTTAAGCATTGAAAAGTTTTTTTTACAGATGGCTTGTGAAGAAACAACTGAAAATAAGTGTAGTGCCAATTGTTGGAGTTGATCTTGATCATCATTAACATATATACTACACCACTATTTAATTAGTGTTTCACAAGTAGAATTATAGGAAAGATGGTAAGGTTCATCCTTTCTTTTCCAACTTCGCATTTTTACCAATAATTGTATACATGATTCTTCTGAATAATGTAAATCATTCCAAATTAATGCAGCTGTTTCATAAATTTTATCCAATACTGTTCTTTTTAAGCCACAACCTAAAATATATATATTATTAAGCGATGATACATATATATATAAAAAAAAATTCAGCTAATTTTATATACATACCTCTATATAAGGGATGTAATTAGTATGCAAGAATTGTAACAGAATTTACAAGTTCATCGAATCGTCGATTAAAATTAATAATAATATTTCTTTTCCACAGATTAGAATTTTTAACTCAATTAATATTTGCAGCTAATTTAACTAACTCAATAAAAATATCAGCTAGATTAGCTGTTTTAGCTTCTAAACAATTTGTTAATTCCTTTACAGGTTTCAAAATAACTGAGACCTGATGGCACTTAATATAAAAATCTTCATCCTCAAGAAGATCAAATACTGCAGTATTAGAGATTACAGACATATGATTTTCTAAAATCTATATATATATAAAAATATTACATAATTATTATGTATACTATACATATTACTATAAATTTAAAATTAAATAAATATTAAATATTAAACTTACCCAATTAAAAACTGGCTTAGATTTAACAATTGAATCTATTGTTGTAAAAAGTGTTCCCCAATGAGTTTTACAGTATGACTTAATTTCTCCACCTTTAATTTTTATAAGATGAAGTTGTTCTAAATAATATCCATGAGCAATATGAGAATTATAAAAAAAATTCAAAATTAAACCACATTTTGTAACAATATCTTTAATTAAATCTAATTTAGTAAAATCAGATGCAAGCAAATTTACAGCATGTGCAGTGCATCTGAAATTTAATATAAAAGGATAAGTGTTATGAATAATTTGACGAGCTACTCGAAGATTTGCTTCTGAATCTGTAACAATTGCCATGAACTTTTTAACACCTATTTTCTCAATAAAACTTAAAATTTCACTAGCTATAAATGCTCCAGTATGACTAACTTTGTTATACTCCTTAAGTTTAATGAGATATTCTTTACGCTTGAATGTAGTAATAATAAAATTATAAATTGAATTATGAGTAGATAATGTCCATCCATCAAGGCTATTATAACAAAAAAAAATTTTTTTTAAAAATTTTATTAATTATAATTTTTAAAAAAAATTATATTACATACATAAAGTAAGGTTTTCTTCTTTTTCTAAATCATTATCAATTCGCTTATCAATTCTTAAAACTTCTTGGTCTAAAAAGTGACCAGAAGTCTAACCCATGATGGAAGTTCATATCCAGGAATTGCAAGTTGAAACAAATCAATTATGAAAGGATTTTCTATAGTTTCAAATAAAAAATTACATATAATCCAAGCTTTTAAAATAGCTTTATTTAAAGATTCCACTCGTGCTTCAGGAAGTAGTTCAACTTTTGGAAAATGAATTGTAATATGAGATTGATTATGTTTTGTTTTTTTTCATATTAAAGTTTTTTCTTTAGCAATAAAATCTTTCCAAAAATATTTAATTTTATCAGGAACATTTAAACATTGTCGAGCAAGATGCATGCACATATCATCTGGTCAACCTTTTTTCTATAAAACAGGACAATATCTACAACTAGCTTTATAATGTTCCCGACCTAAACTAACACCTTGATTAACATAAAGCCAAATACTCCCTGTTTTTTACCACTAACATTTCTACGTTTTGTAAGCAAGAGACTTGATTCACTTGATTCATTTGTTTCACTATACTTTTGTGGTTCATTTTCACTAATACTAAATGTATTAGAACCAGTTTCCGAATTTCGTAAGGCCATTAATTTTCAAAAAAGATTATCATTATAATTATATATCACTATGATAGCTAGTAAAAATTAAATATATATTCTAGTTTATTATAACCAGAGTTCAGTATTCGATACTAGATTCAAACTTGATGTTTGGCGAATTTATATACTAATATATAAAGTAAGTATTGGAATTTTGACTCCTTGATATTCTCTTTATTTTCTCACATTATATTTTAAGTACATCAATAATTAAAGATAAAAAACACAATTACAATTGATATGATATTACTAAGTTTGAAACTGGGTTTGTTCTTATCCATGTATAGATGTATTCTAATTACTATTTTAATCCAGTTGTTTGTTTAATTGAAACCCTTAAATAACTGAATATCCAATACCACAGGTAAGTGAGCAGGTTTTGAATTGATATCTGCGGATATATGATTAAATCATGAGACATTAACTTTACTGTTCTTTGGCTTTTTGGCTGACAAAAAAATAAATAGAAGCATTTAAAAAAAATAAAAAAATTCTTAATGTAAGTTTTCATCATATTATAACCTAAAAAATAATTAGATTTTAGACATGTGTTAGAAAAAAAAAACCGCTAAAGTTTAAAATGTACATAATATTAAGTTATTGTTGTAATAAAATGTCTTTAAGTTATAAGAAAGGTTTATATGAACTTATAGACATATAATAGAAAGAAGAATTAAAAATATATGTATATAGTGATAGTGATATAGGAAATTTATAAAAGCGAATGATACAAGTTAGGCAGAATAAATATGTGAACCAAATTTGAAAGCGTGAGATTTATTTGAAAACAAGATTTATATTATAGTATAATATTAGATTATTTTACTCTTATATTTTTATATACTAATAATCTTTCTGGAATTTACTAGGCATATATTTGTTTTATATAACTAAATAGTACATAAACTAGTTTTTGTTGTTATTACTACTTCGAATTAGTACTATATAACATATAAATAAGTTTTGTGAATCCTAGAATTCACGTTGACCACAGGATACCTACAGATTATCTTTTTTAAAATTTGACAAATAAATGTTATTATCTGTAAGGATCTGATATGTGTTGACTATACAGATATATGAATAGCAGTTAATGGTTTTGATCTCTAAGAGTACCTGTAAAAGCATAAAAACTTGAACAAAAATCTAACCTTTGGAGAGCAAATACAATCTGACTCTAGATTAAAATAATTGGATGAATTTCTGAACTCTAGAAATTTACCCAATTATTTCACCATTCTACCATTTCACCATTTTATCATTTTACCAATTCACCATTTCACCAATTCACTATTTTACCAATTCACAGTTTCACCAATTCACCAATTCACCACAATTCACCAATTACACCAATTATACCAATTCACCAGTTACACCAATTACACCAATACCGATTGGTAATTGGTGAAATGGTGAAATCATTTTACCACCCTGATTTTATTTCACCAGCATCTTGAGTGATAACAAAGAATGTTAATACCTCGATGACAAAAAATTTCATAATAGTGCCAAACTCTTCAATGATATTTTAACCAAATCTCGCTTACTATTTCCACCTCAGGATGATGAAACATAGATTCACCCAACTCTTAATGTCATACTATTTCACAAAAACAAGGAACATGCTGCCTCACTTGATCAACCCATCCCTACTAAAGCTTTGGACAAACTAGCTGATCAAGCTGAAGACTTTGTTTGCAAACAAAACAAAGTCAAAACCAATCCCAAACGTCGCAATTATTATTTCTATTGCTACCTCTTCCTTTATTACCAAACTGCTGTTAAAAACTATAATATACAGTCTCTGTTCAAGAAAGAGGCTATCAATCTTTTAACAAAAAACATCATTAACACCAAATTTCTTGCCCAAATCATTACATATTTTGATGTATTAAAAACCAAAAACCAACTTACATCAAAATGTCAAATAATTTAATGATACTGCTTATCCAGCAGCTGAAAAATTCTTATCAAAAAAATTTAATCTTGACTTTTAACCAGTCTCTATTCTTGACTTCCTTTTTTTACAGTCTCCTTTTTAAGCTTTTTGTCTTCTACAACCAACATTGAAGCAACCACCATCTTATTAAAAAATACAACCAGTGTAGTTAATAAGGAGAATGAAAAAATAGACAGATTGATGAGTTTATTTATGTGGAAGGCCAGGATAAAGATGGTCAGACCCAATGTACAGGGCAGACTATAGTATCTTGCACAGATGTGAGAGCCGAGCATACAGTGATCAACCCTGTAGAAGACAATTTTGAAAGATCATTTACAACATCTTTAATCCCCTATGATCTTCATACATGCTT